GAGTGATGACACCACACTGACTCTCACCGAAATGGCCCACACCATCAGCGAGTGGTCCACCTCCAGCAGTCGCACCCTGGTGGGCGTGACTCCGGGGGAGTACCTTCCCCTCAAGCAGGCGCTGTCGGGAAATAAGACTAGTCTGAGTTCTCCCAGCGAGGAGAAGCGATGTGCCCTGCCGCAGGTTCACCGAAGAAGCGGCAGCAATGGCAATCAGGCAAGAGCTGCCCAGGAGCTTGGCGATACTCCAAGTGGCCCGGAGACAAGTGCCGCCGCCCGGAAGCGCCGCTCGCTGGAGATGATGTCGAAATTGTATCAGAGTCAGGAGATATGCTCCGAGTCGGAGTCACCGTTCGTCGAGCGTTTGTATGCGCACACCGAGAAGTTGACGGAGCGCTATCAGAGCCAAGAGTTTGTGCCCCTCCATGGTGTGACTGCAGGTTCCCAGCTTCCTCCACCGACCACCACTCAGATCCAAACCCAGCTGAACCAGCAGGTGCGCCAGAAGCCCAGGGCCCCTCAGCCACCCACGAAGCCCAAACCTGCTGTTACTCGACCGATTATGCAGGCTTTGCTCAACAAGATGAAGCAACCGGGACTGGCGGAGCAGGCTGCCGAAGCTGCTGAGGCCGAGGAGAAGAAAGCTGTGGCTGCGGCGAAGCCACCACCACCGCCAGTGCCCACAGTTCCGCCGATTGTGACGCCCAGCGATTTGCCCGGCGAGGTGGTGGCTCCTCCACCCAAACCGCTGGCCAAGCACCACAGCTACGATGACCGCACCCTCTCCAAGACCCAGATTCGCGAGTTCAAGACCACGAGCAAGCAGTTGCGCCAGTCGAGCTCCTTCCACGAGCACATGCTCAGCAAGTCGCAGCAGTCGTCGCAGGAGCTGCCCATGAGAATCGACGAGGAGCGGGATCCGCACTCGACGTCCTCGGCCACCAACACCACGACCACCACCAACACGCTGAACAGCGAAAGTACGGAGCCCAATTCCCCACAAATGCCCCAGCGGGCGGATAAGTTGGTCCGCTGTTCGCCGTATTACTCAAGCAGCCTCAGCTCGGAGTCGCCGCCAAATCAGTTGCTACAGAAACCGCCGAGGAAAACCGCCAGCCAGCTGAGTGCCGGGGCAGTGGCCACCTCCCTGAAGAGCCCCCCCAGTGGCAACGACACGGACAGCTCGTTGGACGTGCGGGGCCAGGAGGCGAAGATGAGAAGCAGGGGCTACCGCAAGAAGCGCCAGTTGCCTGCCAAGCGGATGAGGGCCAATATGACCGCCGCAGCTCTGCTGGAGCAGGCGGAGAGCTCGGAGTGCTCGGAGGGCTATGTGCCGGAAGTCGATTCGGGCAGCTCGGAGTACTCGTCGTGCCAGCGGGACGACCAGTACCTCGAGTTCGACGAGGAACTGGAGCGGGACCAGGAGCAAACGGACGAGTACGACGACTATCCCCAGTACAGTGGAAAATTCGAGAGCCTGGACATGAGCGACAATGTGGACGAAATGGGCTTTCCCCGCTACGACCGCTTGGGTCACATCACCAAGCCCATGTACCACCAGGCCCTGGTAATGGATCGTCCCAATCCGGTGCAGGTTCCAGCACCGGCCAATCATCCAATGCCTCCGGTCACCGGACAGCCAGTGAAGCCGGCACGCACCAAGAAACGCCAGTTGAAGCGGGAGGACTCCACGGCCGCGAGCACTTCGGGATTTTCGGGAGCAGCGCCCCAGGTTCGACCCTACCACGGACGGAGCTATTGCAATCCGGAGGAAAGTGAGTACGAGACCCGAGGAGGTGGATTGTCCGACGAACTGGCCAACTCCAGTGAGGACAGCTGCAGCGGATTCGGCGGAGAAGCGGGAGCCTCAGGATCGGGCACTATAAGGAGGGGCGCAACCAAGGGAGCGGCACAGGCACAGGAGCATCAAGGATCGGGACCCCAGGCTCGACAAGTGCTCCCGTATCCTGATTTTCTGTCGGACTACGAATCCGAACCCATTGAGTATGAGCGCTATGCCTGCGGACTGGATATACGCGTTGATCCGCCGCCAAAGTTTCATGACTCGGATGAGCTGAGTGACCAGTAGGAACCCTTGGAGCCCCGAGAAACCCCATTGCGTGTGCTTAACAAATGCAGCCTTTTCATTTGTTCCGTTGCCTTGGAAATTTTTAGAATGACTCTACGACTTTTACACACGATCCAAGTACTTATAACCAACTTATTTGTAACTGAGACTGATTTACGACAAGCAACCAAAACCAAAAATGAACACCCAAAAATCTTACAAGCTGCATATAAAAACTTAAAACAATTATAGCTCCCCTTGAAGCGTTAGAAAATCAAATCAAATTCAAGTAAAAGACATTTTAATCAAACATTACAAAACATAACAAATCAAATATAATAACTTAAATAATCGAGAGGATGGAAGGAGCCCGTAGGTCGGTGTAGATTGAGTTGCCTTTGAGCGGTACTTATATATGATAATGTTATAGATCAATTCAACATTTAAATATCACTGTGCAACATTTTTAGGGTTATAAAATGTAACCGCAATTTTGATTTCATGGGCGGAAAGAACTCATCGAAATAAGCTAAAACCCATTTGGGTTTCTCTGGCTTAGCTCGCGTTTACCTATTATAGCGAGTTAAAGTTTTACATACAAAATTTATTTGTAACGGCCATATCTTGTGAACCGATTAAAATTTCACTATCAAGTCTTCAGTGATTATGTAGCTATGAACCCAAGGAACTAAATTGACAAATGACTCTTGCGAAGACGTACACCTAGCGCGTTAAAAATCGAAAAATTAGGCAAATTTGATTTTTAACGCGCTAGGTGCACTAGGTGCTAAGTGCGCAAGAGTCATTTGTCAATTTAGTTCCTTGGGTTCATAACTACATAATCACTGAAGACTTGATAGTGAAATTTTAATCGGTTCACAAGATATGGCCGTTACAAATAAATTTTGTATGTAAAACTTTAACTCGCTATAAAAGGTCAACGCGAACTAAGCCAGAGAAACCCAAATGGGTTTTAGCTTATTTCGATGAGTTCTTTCCGCCCATGAAATCAGAATTGCGGTTACATTTTTCATGTTGCACTGTGTATATATGGGGTATATTGAGCGGAAACGTTAAACGAGTTGAACAAATTTTAATGCACTGTTTAATCATCGAATAATGGAATACAAGAATACAAATGTTTAATTGTTATTTAGCTAATACAACACAAGTCGAGACACAATACTTAAGATTAAAGTTATTAAATGAATATATATATGATTAATTCAAGTTGCCACGAACACTGCGCCATTACGTTTAGCATTTCGTCAGTATTGGTAGCGCAGGTTGTTCGATCCTATCCAGCTGAGTTCCAATCCAAGTGTCAAAAGCAGGCATACCTAAATAGACAAACCTCTAAACTAGTTACGTTCACCTATGCTCTAAGTTTAGTAATCTCAGATGATGAAGGGACAAATCAGCCAAATGCTTTAAAACACTTATCCTAAGAAGCCAGAAGGAAAAGATTTTGAGCAACCCATTACAAGAGTCTCAAGACAGGTCCACTAAATCCCGATCTAAAGTATTCTCCTACCTGAATACGGCATTGTCGCAGTATAATGAAAGCATTTACTTCATGCTATTTAGGGGTTTTCTAACCATATATATTTTATATAGATCTTGAGCTCTATAAGTTTTTAATTTTACAGCAAACGTTTTTAGACGCAAGTTACCAATTTATCTATTACTTACGATTCTCAAGTGAGCAAATGTTGTCTTAGCCATTAGTTCTGCTTAGTACATAAATGTGCCAAAATGGAGATCCGAAAATGGAAATCCCTATACCAATAGTATTTTATAACTGTAAGTGTAATAGGAGCAGAACACGGAATTAATTGAGACCCTGTTAAGTTTTAAATCCGATTGGAAACTTATATACTCATATGTATGGAATAGACTATTGTTTTAAGTTTACAAAAATGGAAAACATATTTACGTGTTATTAGAGAAAATGAGTGGAGAACGATTGGTATTAGGCAATGTTAAGGTCGTACAATAATTTTACTAATTTAATCCAGATCAAAAGTATTCTAATCAAAATATCTAGTTGTGTTTAGAAATAATGTAAAATTAAATAAGTCCGAAAATTGGTTGTTCTGAAAAAGCTTGAACCTAAGTTGATTGAATAATCCTTTTATATCCGATAATACCTAATGATCTTTAGTTAGGAAAAATGGTATATTTTTAACAACCTCACAACGAGTTTTTAAAGTAAAATTTAAATTTTTTCAGCGGGGGGATTACATTATTTTTATTGAAAAATTCCTTCAAGTGCAAACATAGAGATTTTTCAAAACACAAGTCCCACAAAAATACTAGCTGAATTTTAAGAAATTAGAAACAAAACACAGAGTTTGCAATACGAAATTAAAACTTAATAAAGTTTAATTTAAAAAAAATCTTTTTCTCACACAAAGCAAAAATGAAGATCACTCAAACGAACAGACACAATGATGGGAGTCTACTTATAACAAATCAAGCCAATGAAATGTACACGAGCAATCGATTAACAAGCATTAAATTATAATTATATAGAAACGAAACTAAATAAATAAAACTTCATTAATCAAATAAAAAATGGAATAGTTTGATTACAAGAACGTTGATAATAACTTACTTTCACATTGTTTAAATAATTAAGACTTAGTTTGTACTTTAAATATTTAAAGTAAGTTATTATTTATTTAAGTTTCTACATGTTTAATAGTTTCATTACTTTACGTACTTTAACATTGTTTAAATAATTAAGACTTAGTTTGTACTTTGAATATTTTAAGTAAGTTATTATTTATTTAAGTTTCTACATGTTTAATAGTACCAATTGTTTTAAAAAAAACAAAACTTAATTTCTTATCTTGATTTTATCATTTCCCTTTTATGATTTCCTTAAATTGTTTCTTTTTTAGATGTTTACCATGGCATAAACGGAAATATGTCATTGGACAGGCGGGGTGAGATCAACACTCCTCCCACGCGATACGACCTCACCTTGGGATCGGATAAATCCTCGTCGCTGTCCCGATCCGAGGCTGGCACATATGATGTGATCCAGGCTGAGATCCAGCACGCCAAGCGCCAGGAGTTGGCCACCGGGGTGGCCACCGCCCCGCACCAAAATGGGCACAATGGGAATGGAATCGGAAATGTGCATCCGTTGAGCACGCAGCACGACATCGAGGCGGAGGTGAAGAAGCGAAAGTGGCCGACCGAGCCCAGCTACTTCCTGGCCAAGGAGCTGCTGATGACGGAGCGCACGTACAAGAAGGATCTGGATGTGCTGAACACCACCTTCCGACAGGTCCTGAGTATCGGCGACGTGGAGCAACTGCAGCCGCTGTTCGAACTGCTCGACTCCCTGGCCCAGCACCACAATCTCTTCCTGCGCGAAATCGAGCACCGACTGGTGCAGTGGGAGGGACGTGGAGGCCACGACGCCCACCGCATCGGAGACGTGATGATGAAGCACATGGCAGCCCTGCCCATCTACGATGAGTACGTGCAGACGCACCTGGACATCCTGCACTGCCTCAACGACTTTTATGAGGGGGATGAGCGCTTCCGCCAGGTGTACAAGGAGTTTGAGCAGCAGAAGGTGTGCTATCTGCCCATCGGTGAGCTTTTGCTGAAGCCCCTCAACCGCCTGTTGCACTACCAACTCATATTGGAGCGGCTCTGCGACTACTATACGGAGGAGCACACCGACTACGCCGACTGCCAGGCTGTGCACCACCTGCTCGTTCGCACCACCAAGGAAATCCGGGCCCACCTTCCCGACTCTGCCAACTTCGTGGAGCTGTGCGAGCTGCAGCGTGACATCAGCTTCGAGCAGTTGGTCCAGCCCCACCGCCGTCTTATCCGCCAGGGTTGCCTGCTGAAGCACTCGAAGCGCGGTCTGCAGCAGCGGATGTTCTTCCTGTTCTCAGACCTGCTGCTCTACGGATCCAAGTCCCCGCTGGACCAGAGCTTCCGCATCCTGGGCCATGTTCCTGTGCGGTCGCTGCTCACCGAGAACGCCGAGCACAACACCTTCTCCATCTTCGGCGGACAGTGCGCCATCACGGTGAGTGCGGGCACCACCGCCGAGAAGACCCTTTGGCTGGCCGAGCTCTCCAAGGCGGCGGCGGACATCAAAAATCGTCCGCCAAACATGCAGCTGCAACTGACGACGCTTAAAAACTGCAGTGAGTATAATTAAATGGGTTAGAATTGATTGGAAGGGATAGCAATAGAATGCAGTGTAGGCCTTTTTCTGGCTAATGGGGTTCATTTACATTTTCGAACCTAGTGCACATTGGGATGTCAAAACAGTTCATCTGAAAAGAAATGGTAATAGCCACATTGGATTTTTCATAGGTTTACCCTTTACTCGTAGAGCATGTATTCTTAATCAGGATCATCTGTCTGTCTGTACGAACGTAGAGATCTCGGAAATTATAAAAGCTAGACTATTGGCATTAAGCATGCAGATTCTAGGGGTCCCTACGCAGCGCAAGTTTGTTTCATCAAGGTGCCACGCCCCTTCTAACGCCCACAAACCGCAAACAACTGTGGCGTCCATAGTTGTGCTGCTAAAATTAAAATTTAAACTGAAATGTATTTGTTTCGTCAATACCTATTGATTAACTTAAACAAAGTTGAACGCGCTTAACGCAAAAACCTAGCCTAAAAGACCCACATTTCTGCATTGCATGGTCAGTGGTACCACTGACACTCGCTAGGCGGCGCCGTCGTGTTAATTCGTGTTTTTATGTTGTTTAGCTAAGTAACGGGTATCTAATAGCCGAGGAACTCGACTACCGCCATCTCTCTTGTTTTTCTTTTCAATTCTGGACACCTTATAAATTGGCATTGATAGATAGGTTTTTTATTAAATCTGTGCAAGACAATGTATGGCTTTTAGATCTAAGATTCGCAAACTTCGGCTTCCGAAGCTGGCCTCATTTTTTCTTTAGTTAAACTTTTCCATTTATTCTCCACTTTTTTGGCTGGCAAGAAAAGCACGCTGCAAGGCCCCGTAAGCAAGAAGATTCCCCCAGATCCCTATATCTTTTCGTTGGAGAGCACCTACTAAAGTATTTTTTCACCCAATTTTCAGGTTCTTCGGAGGAGGGTCTGGACCTGTTTGGTCTGAGCAACGGCAACAACAGCAGCTTGAACAGCAGCGTGAACGGTGGCGGTCCGTTGACGCCGCAACAGCAACAGTTGCAGCTGCAACAGCAACAGCAAAACCGGACACAGCCGTCTCGCAGCAACACCGCTCTGCACGTCTGCTGGCATCGTGGCGCCACCGTAGGACTGGGCGATCACCTAATAGCCGCCGAGCACCAGCTGTCCGGCTACCTACTGCGCAAGTTCAAGAATAGCTCCGGATGGCAGAAACTCTGGGTGGTGTTCACCTCCTTCTGCCTTTACTTCTACAAGAGCTACCAGGATGAGTTCGCCCTGGCCAGCCTGCCGCTGCTGGGCTACACGGTGGGTCCTCCTGGCCACCAGGACGCCGTTCAGAAGGAGTTTGTCTTTAAGCTCTCCTTCAAGAACCACGTTTACTTCTTTCGGGCGGAGAGCGCCCACACCTACAACAGGTAAGTTTTATATTATATCTATTACGATCCACGCCCCATGATGTATTGCGTCCTTCAAAATGTATCATAAAAAAGGGAAAAAAAGATTTTAATTGAATACGATAATAATCCAGTTGCTTAGATCAAGTTAAATTAAGATTTAAACTACTTAGTATAATTTTAATCAATAATTTGTTCTTCTTTTCCCAGATGGTTGGAGGTGCTGCGCAGCACGACCCAAACACAGGACTTCAAAAATATACACACTCACGCTGTGTTAGGCAACTAGAAGAACCTATTATTTTCGGGATAGACGCATTGGTCTCTCACAATAATCGTCGTGCAGTTCCAATAATCAGATACGCATAGAGACGCCTTTTAGTATTCTATTTTTATACAACGTATACACCACAATCAATATTTCCCTTTTTAAAGTAGCCTACGTTTTCTTCAACATTACTTACTCATTGTATTCTATTTGTATCCTTACAAGGCCAGCTTTAAGATATCTATGTAAATAACGTCTTTGTCGTTTTGTTTGTTCTACGTCTGATTTGGCAACTATTTTGTGTTTATAGCTGGTTTTATGTGTTTTAGTTTTCCGAGTAAAAAATACATTATGGATTTACTTTTCGGGAAGAAGTATAGAGAAGCAAATTGATTCCAGAATCAACTAAAAACTGCAATTTGTAATCATAAGTTTAAGTCATTAACTTTAATAGATTTAAACAATTCAAATACACACTAAAAAAAATAACATGTTTTTCGAAGAACTACAAAATATTGTGTTGTGTATGTTTGTCTGGGTGGTATATCTTTAAGCTCCTAATTTGCACCGCAAAAATACCTTTGGATATGTGGGCGCCACTAACTTTTGCTGTTTGTGGACGTGGAACAGTGATGAAAAAAACTTGCGCTGTTTAGAAAACCCTAAATTCTGCATACTTAATGCCAATCTTGTGGCTTTTATAGTGTCTGAGATCTCAGCGTTGATAGAGACAGACGGACAACCATGGCTAGATCGACTCGGCTTGTGATGCTAATAAAATATTATTAGCATCATTTTTTGATCTTTCCTATGGGAACTATCCAATATAGACGTCCGAATTCTGTTAAATTTAATTCAAAATTTTGAATTGTTAATAAAATAAAAATCAACAAAGAATTCCTTTTAATTTCCATTTAATTTTGCGATATATGGCACCTATATAGTGATCCGATTTTTTAAAAATTTAATTAAAAATTAAGAAATGTTTAAAAAATAGTTTCACAAGAGGAGAAGGTAATATTTCAAAAAACACCGAAGCTAGAGTTTTTTTAACGTTCATTTTTTCTATGGGAGCTATAAGATATAGTTGTGCGAGCCGGCAGGTTCTGACTTATGTACTACCCGCAAAAGATATAAGACATTTGGGAAAGTTTCATCCCGATATCTTAAAAACTGAGAGACTAGAAACAGACGGTCAGACGGACATGGCTAGATCGACTCGATCGATGCTGATTAAGAATACATATATATACTTTATGGGGTCGGAAACGCTTCCTTCTAGCTGTTACATAATTTCGCACGAATACAGAAAAAGAGTAAAAGGGTATTACTCTACGAGTAACGGGTATAATTACAGAATACGTTAAACTGCGGCTGTTAGTAACCTCAAAAAAGTGCATAAAATCGAAAACCTGGTACTTAAGACACGATTTTCAAGAACTTCAAGTTTCTAAGTAAGGCCTAGTACTCAGTTCAATAGAAAAGTTTACGAAATTAAAATTTCCATATAAAATTTTGAACACAAAATTGTACGCCTGTCATTTTTGTATAGAAATTTTCGTTTCGTTGCCCTTTTGATTGATTAGATACAAATATTCTTAAATCAAAATTTGATATAGGCACTGTAGATTCCCTAACTAACATATCCTGAAAAGATATTAACTGCGACTCGATTCATAAAAGCAATATCAGAAAAGAGTAGAACAACAATTTACGAAACGTTCTTTGTATGTATTTCATGTTTCTTTGGGTCTTGTGTTCAATACCCTTTTTACAGCGTATTTGTTTTTTTAAGTTAAATGCTTATTTTAAATCCCTTATTATCACTAAAAAAAATCATTCTTTGGCAGCCAAATGTTTAGAAAGCACTATGATTGCGGTTTCGGGTCGATTCCCAATTCTAAAGGTTAACTGTTAAATAAAAGTGTCTATAAATAGCTTCAATAAAAATGTAATTTATTTTAAAATTATAACCATTTAATAAAAAAACAAGAGAGAACGTTATAGTCGGGTGCCCCGACTATCAGATACCCGTTACTCAGGTAAAGGGAGTGCGAGGGAGATGGAGATAGAGATAGAAAACGTTGATCACGCATAACTTTTTAACGAATGGTCCGATTTGAAAAATTTCTTCAACATTTCGATAGGTATTGATAAACACAATAAAACTGCATTTTTACTTTTCCAAAATATTAAAATTTTTAAAATCGTAAATAAGCGATTGTGGGCGTTAGAGGGGGCGTGGCACCATTTTGAAACAAACTTGCGCTGCGTAGGAACTCCTAAAATCTGCATGCAAAATGCCAATCTTCTAGCTTTTATAGTTTCTGAGATCTCAGCGTTCATACAGACAGACAGACGGACAGACGGACAGACGGACAGACGGACAGACGGACAGACAGACGGACAGACGGACAGACGGACAGACGGACATGGCTAGATCGACTCGGCTAGTGATCCTGATCAAGAATATATATACTTTATGGGGTCGGAAACGCTTCCATCTCCCTGTTACATACTTTTGCACGAATACAATATACCCTTTTACTCTACGAGTAACGGGTATAAAAAGAAAATTAATTTAAATGAAAAGATAAGATAACTTATCAGACTCATTGTCAGCTAGACAAAACTATTTTTGGACACTGCGCATGTCATTGGCATAGGGGTGAGTTTTTACCCAAAACTAGCACTTATAATTCCCAACTGATTCTAGCTGCTCGCTCATGGGAACCCCGGCTCCGAGATAAGCAAAGCATACTTACCTGGCGTAGAGGTTAACCGTGATCACGAAGGCGGTTCCTCCGGAGTGAGGCTTGGCCATTGCACCTCGGCTGAGTTGACCTCTGCGATTATTCCTAATGTGAATAACTCGTGCGTGTAATTTTTGGTAGCCGGGAATGGCGTTCGCGCCGTCCCGACATGAACAAATAAATTTTTAAGTCTCCACACGCAAATCGTTGATCAAATTGCTGGTGGCGGAGCGTATAAGCTCGTTGGTCGTCTGACTTGCCGTCTGGCTGCCCGGGTACTGGCGTCCATGGGATCACCTAAGCTGACATAGCTCACGGGACGGGCGGTGGCCACTGTGGTGGTGGTGGAGATGGTGTCCGTGTCCTGGCTGGATTGCGCTGACAATGATTGCATGGAGAGTCCCTTCCTAAGATCACTGTGCGACTTGGAGCTCTGCCGGGAGCCCTTGGCCAGCGGTTTGAAGGGCGGTGGCGATTGGTAGCGCGGCTTATCCTTGAATCTTAGGGAACCTCTTTTCCTGGGCGACAGTAGCGCTGCGAAAATTTCAAAAAGCAAATATCAGAAATCAAGCTATGTGTATTGATTGTAATTTTTGCTGACAGAGCTTTAAGCTCTGTGTCCTTGCATTTCTTTCAGTGTCATCTCAAAGAAATTTATTGCTGCCTTTATTATGGAAATAGATTTCAAGCGGATCGAAATTTTCAACGAGGATTCCGAGGAGCTGGACGCCGCGATCGCGTATGTCGGGCGGCACCGTGCAGATATGCAGCAGGGAAGCATATTGCTGACCTGCCTGCTGAAGCAGCTGCACGACCGCCCGAAGCCATATGTGATCGTCTTTGACGAGTTTCACTTTAAACACGTGAAGAACTCTTAATATCAAAAATGGAGGCAACTCGTGGCAGGCGTCGCAACCGTGGACGGGACGTTCACGAGGATCGTCCACATCCAAGTGGTAAGTGTGATCAAAAAAATATAAATAACATTTGAATAATTATGGATTATTTGTAATTTTTAGGTTTGCATTGAAATGCATTTATCCGGTGGCGCCGAAATGGCAAACGACGTAAAGGAGCTATACGAATTCTTGGACGCCCACGGCCTAATTACATATCTCGTCGGAGCCGTTGCCGACCAGAACGGCACCAACACAGCCGCCAAGTCCTGGCTCACGGGACATGGGTGCGCTGTGGTCTACGACCACAGGCATCTGTGCGGTACGCTGGCCCGCGCTGTGTATTGCGACGCCCTGCTCCGACACCTTTACAGAAGCGAAGTCTTCTCACAAGAAACATTCGCCGTATGGACAAATTTTGGTCGGTCGGGGCAGGTGTGAAGCACGACTCAGCGCGGGTGTTATACCAAAATCAGCTGCTGCACATAAAATCCCTCCTGGCAAGGTACTTCAGCGTAGAGACGGGGAAGGTGTAACTCACCAATGTCAATGCCGACCTCTTGGAGGACATTGGGAAGAAGTGGGCCAGCGTGATGGCAAATGCGGTTGAGGAAGCCTTCCAAACGTTCCAGCACAAGGTGTTGTTGCGACATCTCATGTGACTTTAAACAAGCAGGACCGACGCAAGCGATTAGCGGAGCGACGGAAGTATTTGAAGTCCTCAGTGTATGTTTTTAGAGCCCAACAACTTCGTTTAAATTAATTGTCTTATGTCGGGACGGCGCGAACGCCATTCCCGGCTACCAAAAATTACACGCACGAGTTATTCACATTAGGAATAATCGCAGAGGTCAACTCAGCCGAGGTGCAATGGCCAAGCCTCACTCCGGAGGAACCGCCTTCGTGATCACGGTTAACCTCTACGCCAGGTAAGTATGCTTTGCTCAGCTCGGTTCGGGGTTCCCATGAGCGCGCAGCTAGAATCAGTTGAGAATTATAAGTGAATTATGGGTAAAAACTCACCCCTATGCTACGCTCTACTACTAATAAATTGAACAGTAGGGGTGTCCAAAAAAGTATGCACGAGATCTTGCAGTTTATTTGCAATCTTTTCTAAGCCAATGCTTTTATTTCGTCACTTGTGAATCACGTTTTTTATTTTATTGAACGTGATTTCATCCGAAATAATTCTTTATTCGCTGAACTTTTTGATTTTCTCATAAAAGAATGCAAACCATTTTTTAATTATATTTTAGACTACATCGTTTAGAAGATATATTCAAAATGTTAACTTAATCCGTTAAAAATTGGGCGTCTTTTCCCATTACAAAATAAACAAATGCGAATTTGTGTTATTTTCATTTATTGATATTTGAAATCTTAAACTTTATTAATAATAATGTTAATTACAGTAAGGTAATTTTAAATTCCGCATCGATTGAAAGGGTCGCCCTAATCCTCACCCTTTGCCTAACTTTTACTGTGAAATGAGTTGGGATTACTTGCATTCTCTACTTTAGTTGGTTCGTAGTTAATAAATCAATAGGCTGCTATATGGTAGGTTTTTCATATATAAGATTAACATGATGCTCAGAGCATCATCATCGCGTCGCCATCTCCGCGATCCATCCAACACAAAGTGCCAAAAAGTGGAGGGTTCGTAGCAAAAGGAACAGCAATTCGCATTCAACAGAAAACAAGATTAAGACTCGATTGTAAACGCTTAAGAACTAACTAAATCAATTGCCGCAGCCAAGACACAGTGGAACCTAGAGAGTACATAGCGTGGCAAAATGGCAGTTTGAGGTGTTTCCAACCAACTATACACTAAAGAAAGATCCCGCACAATCCTCGAACTCCATCGAATCAGACCAAATCAAGATGTAAACTTGAGTTAGATCAAGGACCAGGTCTTACAGTTAGGGTAAAAATAGTGTGTGGGTCCGGTAATGAAATAATCGTGCAAAATACATAGCGCATTGGTCACTGGATGCTACAGAGGTATACATACATACATAATTAATTGCCTGTTCGTTCCCAACTTGGAGATTTGTTTTCACATACCATGTGGATTAGTTTATATTGCTAACAACTAACATTTAATTCTCAATTTCTAGTAATTTCACAATTTGTAGCCAATAAACTTATGAATCGATCTAGGTAGCATGTGTATGTGTATGTGGGATTTTGGTAGATATCGCTTATGACACTGGACATTTAACTGGAGTAACTGTGGGGTTTTTGCTACGACACGAACTACTACAAATATTAATTTCTGTTGAGACTTTGGTTTAGTTGCAGCTCTAATTCAGTTTTACAGGTCTTGCTTTCGCACATCTAAAATGAAACTAAGTGGATTTTGCAATTGTTTGACATGGATTTTATAATTTTTTTTTATTATTAATATTAATAATTTTTTGCCGCTGCTATTTGAATTATAACATTTGAGTTTTTAGCTTATGAGAGTCTTATTTCTGGCTGCAGGCTGCACTAGCGGCTGCTGCTACAGTGGACTTCCAGGTGTTTTTGTGTGTTCTGATTTCGGGATCGGGTTAGGGTTAAGGACAAGGCGGAACTATCGGCCAAACAAATATAACTGAAAACTGCCCAGTGCTTATGGGTTGCGGGTGGTGTGCGCAGGTGTGTGAGCGGTTGAGGGTGAATATATGCTGCTGTGCCGTGCCGTTGGCGCTGTTACAATTTCATAGCATTACAATTATCATAAATATTTCTGTTATTATTTAATTTAAACTTCTTTATGGTATTGCATATTTTTGTTGCTGTAGTTTGCTGATGTTTTAAGCTGCGACCGCCCTCTAATCTGCTGCTGCTCCTGTTGTGGCTCCTGCTTCTGATGCTTCTGGTGCTGCTGCTGTTCCTAGAGTGGGCGCATGGCTAATCGATGAAACTTTGCTCCACGCAGGCTTTCACACGCTTCTCGTATTCGCGGCGATTTTCTTTATACAGCTGGGCGGCGGTGGAGTTGGCCGGTGAGTTGGGATTGGGGTCGCTCAGCAGTGACTAGGAACCACAATAAAAGGTAAGTTAGAACACTCTCGAGGCCACTGCGCAGTGCGACTCACCTGTATGGATGTTAGTATGGCTGACACATCGTAAGTGGGACTCCAGCGGTTCTGCAATATGTCCAAGCATATTCCACCATCTGCGTACACATTGGGATGAAATACTTTCGATACGAATCGAACCGTTGGCGGTTTGTTTGGATACTCTTCCGTAAATTCTATGGTTAACTTAAAGGTGCCGTCCTCGAATGGTGTATCGTGTGGACCAAAAATCACAGCATTCCATATCATAATATTATTATCTGTTGGCGCACCCGAGACACCCGTGGGTGGATCCTCCTGAAGTCTGCAAAAAGGTAGGAGAAAAATGTATTAGACGAAATATCTTAATATTTATAATACAATATATTTATACATATGTTTTACACCATATAGACCAAATAAATAAAAAATGTTACAAATTGGGGCAGTTTTTGTTGATTTTGTATTTTCCTTTTCGTCATACAAACGAAGTTCAGACGCCGTTAAATCGCCTTGCAACGGATAAAAGTAACCACATTTTACGTATATCGTAGTGCTGAAGGAGACTTTTATATGTGTGTGTATAGCAGCAGATTTTTGTATTATCTCAGAACAATCACAACGAACTTCTGGTTGTAAACAATCTGTGATTTACAAGAAGATAAGTACAAAATTTTAAAACCCCATTAAGCTTGACAGGACTCAGCTGCTTTTCGGATATTTGGCACCATAGCCTGGCACTGTCTCCGTGAAAATACTTGTTAGCATTTTCTCTACATAAAACAGAGAACAAAAAGAATTCCATGCTAAAAGTGCGCAAAACACAATCTGGAAGTTAACTGGACGGAATTGGCTGGGAATTTAGGTCAACAACGAGCAACAAGCGGGCGTCGCAACCCGTTTAACCGCGCCCTTCAATCGGCTTAAATCGATACTCGGGCCAAGTGAAATCATCGATTAAACAAGCAAAGAAACGCTAGTGTACAGAGAAGCAAGCAATGGAATTCCCAAAGTTCGAAATTCAAATCTTAAATGCTCTTAAAAATATAATCCTAAATCGTTAAAAATATGGCTTATTATCAACCGTCTGTTACTATGATTCTTTGAAATTAGCTAGATCTGATTAAAAACCAGTATTAGTTACAGAATACAAAATAGTTTCTAGCTTTAATAATGTAGATCGATATTATAAATCTGTATCCTATAGCTGAATAGTTGTCAATAGGATGTTTAATGAATCCGTGTGAATCTTCATTTTAGAACCAAAAAGAACCTTTAATGTTTTGCAGAACATGATAAGAAAGCATAATCGTAAAATATGTTTTATAAATGTAATATAAATATCTGTCTGTTATTATGAAATAGTATGGCTTCCTGCTTTACAAAAGCAGATCCATTTAGTAAATCTTTCTAATAACTCTGTATCTGGCAATAGGATCTTTAATTCAAAATGTCCTATTCTCTACAGGATTGTTTTTGAAAGCAGAAATGTTCGTTCCCAATTTGATTATATTTTATGCAATCGAAACATTATATTCATGTGATGAAATCCACCGATTCTTTGTTTTATTATTGTGCAAATATGTGCCAAGTTTTTAATATTTTTTTCCCCTGTGTGGAATGTGAGATAAGCGACTAGTTGGCCTTCGGGGTGGTGCTGTGCCTTGGGGATGGAAATCCCGCCCACGCAAACAGCCTTGACATTTGGTTTCGAGACTACCGAGTGCAACTTGCAGTCCAGTCGCGCGCCAACATTCAAATTTTCGGAGATGATGAAAGTTCCGAAACGAAATCGAATGAAATTCCAATTGGAGAGCGCCGTCTCTTTCGCGTGAGTCAACAAGGTTAAGTGCGAGCGGGAGAGGGCGGGCGGGCAGGATGCAGCCGCTGAGTCAGGCGAATCCAAAAACAACAATTGTTAATGTTTTGCTGCGACGCAATTTCGGCAAAAGACGGAAGAAGAATTTTGTTTGGTTTTCCCAATTTTCCCCTTTGTTTCCTCGCTTTCCCCCCGCACCGCACACACATCAAAGTCAAGTGTCAAAGACAAGCGAATTGTTTTTGTTGTTGTTTTTCGCAAGAGCAAAATCAGCGAAAATAATCAACCACTCACACACACTCGCGCACACACAGCCACAAGCACACGTACATATTTTGGCTGCGCAAACTTTTCCACTACATACAGACATAGAGCACATACATAAGTGCGACCGTGTGTTTGCGTATATGTATGTATTGGGCAGCGCAGCCCCAGGTTTCTTTTCTCCAACATTTTTTCGCACCACGAAACACGAATCCGCAAAATCCGACGATTTCTTCGCGATTCGATTCTCGTTTTCCTGCGTTCCTTTCCTTTCCTTTCGATTCGATTCCTTGCCTTTCCTCTAGTTTTCTTTTCTCACCTTTTAAAATCTCTCATAAGACGTCTGCGAGCGGGTGTTGACATGTTTCACAACGATACTACCACTTGTGTTGGATGGGAATTTGAACGCCTGGGCGATGCGCTGCGTCTTGCAAACGGAAACGGTGAAATTTTGTAATTTTATTTTTAATTGAGGGCAAACTCGGGCAGCAATGGTATAGAGCTGGAACAGAAATCGATGTTTCCTCGATACTATCGTATAGAGCTGGGTCAAAAGTCGATGCCAGTTCGATACTATCGTTAGGCGCTGCAAAACGGCCACCTCGTCGTAGGCGAGCCGAAAACTTAAAGGTTGCCGGATCTTGGGAAAAACGTGGAACTAGCAAAAAAACGTTGGCTCTTTGGCCCATTTTTATTGAATGTGGCTCTTTTCTTACTAATAGCGATAAGAAATATTTTAAACTTGAAAAAAAACGAATTATTTTTTTGTTAATGCATTTTTTTTGCAATTTTAAAAGTGATTAATGTCTGAAAACCAAAAGTGTCAGATCGAAACCAAATTGTCCCGCTGGTATGGTAATTTGGTATATGGTAAAAATTTGGTTCTTTTTTATTCAAATTGGCTCATTTTTAATCTTTTTTTTGGATCTGTCTGTCTGTACGAACGCTGAGATCTCGGAAACTACAAAAGCTAGAAGGTTTAGATTTTCCACAGATCTTCTTGGGCTTCCTACGCAGCGCAAGTTTATTTTAGCCGAGCGCCACGCCCCCTCTAACGCCCACAATCGCCCACTAACAGTGAGATTTCCGAGAAGTATAAATGCAATTTTGTTGTGTATATTTATACCTATCGAAATGTAGAAGACATTTTTAAAATCGGACCATTCATTCAATAAAAAAAATTGTATATATTCATCTCACTCGCACTCCCTTTAGCTGAGTGACGGGTATTAGATAGTCGGGACACCAACTCGACTATAGCGTTCTCTCTTGTTTTTTGGTATTTCCGCGGTGAAATAAAGCGTTCCAGCGGTGAAAAAAAAGTGAAAAATATGTTATTTTTATGAGGTTTCACATTGTTTCCCTATTTGCTTGCGAAATACACGGGGCTGACACTAAAAGTGAGGGGTGAATTAGGTTTCTTGATGGTTTTCCAACGAATTTGCATTTTTCCCACACCATTGCCTGCTAAAAGAAACAGGATTTCTAACCACCTTCCTATTTCTTGTAGCAGAAAGTGTTGGAAATCCTGTTCCATTTAGCAGTCAATGCTCGCTGTTTGCATATCACCATTTCCCTCGCACTCAATTTAGCCGAGTAATGGGTATCTGATAATCAAAGCACCTTTTCACTTGGCACTTTTACACTTTTTCCGCACTTTCTCATAAGTTAATTGACTTTCTTGGTTGTTTGTTGAGAAAGAAGCAAATCGATCTTAACGCTTTTTCAGGTAGCTGAACAATTTATGTTGCAAAATACCTCTGCCCGCTGACAGAAAAGGTGAACTCGGAATCTTTTTTCAACTAAAGTGGTATAGAATCCTTGGCTTCGATGTTCATAACTATTGGATAAAGAGTCAAAATCTGCCAAGTGGGCCACCCCTGTTCCGAAGGTCCGATTTTCATCGAACTTTTTTACTTTTCCGGTTCACAACGAAAATATAAGAACTTCATTTGAACGGTTTTGCGAAATTTTGAGTTTTACCGGAGTTATAGGGGTCAAAACATGGCATTTTTGACACTTTTTCGAAAAAGTTGCACTCAGTCAAAAATTCATAACTTCGGAACGGTAAGAGATATCTTTATGATGTTTTCACTAATCGCTCAAGAATTATTATGGCTTTCCATAAAAAAATTTAAAAAAAAATTAAAAATTTTTTTTCTTAAAAATAAATCAACATTTTTTTTTAGTTTTTATTTTTTTCAGTGTTCTTCACCAGCTATAGAGTTTAAAACCATTTGAAAATGAAGTTTGATTCATTACGAAAAAGATCAAAAAAAAAAAAAGAGGGGCCCGGACAAAGGTTTTTCGCAATATCGATTTGAAGAAGGGCGCACAGCGGATTCCCATACAAAACGACAAGAAGTGCCTCATTGACAGCTGCAGTCGGCTGACGCTACGCGCGCAACGGCATGTGTTGACCAGCCAATTTTCACGAGCAAGCCGTTTTTGTATGGAAAACCGCTGTGCGCCCTTCTTCAAATCTATATTGCGAAAAACCTTTGTCCGGGCCCTTTTTTTTTTTTTTTGATCTTTTTCGTAATGAATCAAACTTCATTTTCAAATGGTTTTAAACTCTATAGCTGGTGAAGAACACTGAAAAAAATAAAAACTAAAAAAAATGTTGATTTATTTTTAAGAAAAAAATTTTTAATTTTTTTTAAATTTTTTTATGGAAAGCCATAATAATTCTTGAGCGATTAGTGAAAACATCATAAAGATATCTCTTACCGTTCCGAAGTTATGAATTTTTGACTGAGTGCAACTTTTTCGAAAAAGTGTCAAAAATGCCATGTTTTGACCCCTATAACTCCGGTAAAACTCAAAATTTCGCAAAACCGTTCAAATGAAGTTCTTATATTTTCGTTGTGAACCGGAAAAGTAAAAAAGTTCGATGAAAATCGGACCTTCGGAACAGGGGTGGCCCACTTGGCAGATTTTGACTCTAAATAATGATTATATTTTAAGTGTATGTTCAAATTTGTTAGGTTTATTGAATACTTTAGGACTAATTAAAACAATTCGAGTGTATCACAAACTTAATTCTAGCCTAATTTCAGTGCCTTATTAGACTGGGAAGAGCTCGTTGTAGGTAAAGTTTTCCAGAATTTTGGTTGTGATGACCAGGAATTTAGCCTCCAGAGCGCGGGCAATCGGTACTATCAAATCGTTGGTGAAGACCTCGAAGTTTTGGTTGATCGATTCATTAATGACGTCTCCCAAGACTTTGTCTCCATTGAAGAGGTTTTCCAGCTTGAGATTTCCCTTGCCAGTGCGAATCTTCAAAGCGAATTCCTTAACGTGCAGATAGTCCAGATCATTAACGCTCTTGATATCATATTGGACCCGCACATAGGCCACAAAGTTGGTAAAGTTTCCTGTGAACGGTCCATTGCCCTTGATGGGCAGTGCCAGGATGTTCCCGTTGATCTCATACAAACCGTCACCATGGAGATGTGGCAGAATCAACTCAAAATCGAAGCGACGGTTTTGGGTGGATGCCCGCAGCTTAGTGATTTCGAAGTTCGAGGCCCCCAGGACGTTTAGTTTTTTGGCCTTAACCGTGAGCCCAGCGGAGCCGTCTAAAATTGCAAGATCTCCAATGTAGAGGGGCTCTAGTGGTGGTACATTCAGTTCCTTGATGCCTTTGGCCAAATAGGGTCGTAAGTTATGGACACTGCTCTTCAGGCACTTTGAAAGTTCGGGATCGTTGCGATGGCACACCTGGATGTAGTCAGCTGAGGAGGACATTTGTTTATTATACTGAATGTCTTTGGAAGAAGAGCTATAACTTACGCATATTGGCTGCTGAGCTGCAACCTAAGAAGCAGATCAAGAGTGAGGCCACGATAAGTGAGGAATGCATTTCACGTTTTTGATTTAATTGCTTTCTGCAAAACGGAATATTTAATATTAAATTATTTATTATTTTTAAAAATGTGAATTGACGTCAAAGTTTCTTAATAGGGGGTTTATTAACCCCTAGCACTGATTCAAATAATGTTAGTATACTACCGCCCATTTCTATCGACATCTGAAGTGGTTAATTGTAGGCATTTTGTCGCTGCGACTCAGTCTAATAAATGGGAGGAACAGACTGCTCAAGTACTGTCATTTGCTACTTGTTTGGTTGGCAAGACTGTAATTGATTTTGATCGAGGCTTAATGGCTTTTATGAATGACCGTAAAGGTTAAAATTAATGAAAAAAAATTATTTTGAGTGCTAAAAAATCAGTTATTTTTATAAATTTGATCGTTTTGTTAAATTTGGTATACTCTTTTTATTGCCTATAGTTCTTGCGGGTCTTTCGAAAAATTTGGATTTAAATATTTTTAAGAAAACTTTGGAAAGTTAGTATTCAGTTAGTATTTAAAAACTGGTCGTTTTTTATTAGTCAGGCATTAGATACTGTTGGATTGCTGGGGACTTTTTAGAGTTTTTAAGTCTTACTTTCTTTGCAGAAAATAATTATGTATCCTTTGGTTCCCTAGCAGTTTTATACATATAACTAGAAACTGAAAAAAATGTAGATACTTAAAAAATATGGTCCAATCAATTAGGGCTGGATTTAATTTTCAACGTTCGTTTTTTTTTACTATTTTGAACTTTTATATTTTGTAAACATATTCCTCATCCTTTAAGGAATTGTCTAAATAGATTACTGAATACTTGGGATTAGTTCGCGATATCTTAAGGATACACCGGAGCGTCGAAACTTACACAATTGAGCAGAGGTTTTAATTTGATTTGCAATTATTGGTTTTGGCACGGGTTTGTTATCTTTTTATAAGCTGTCGAAGGCTGCTTAACGTTCTCGAGCTGTTATGGTCGGGTGTTGTTTTAGTAACCGTCAACGGATCGTACTGAATGCCAATTGTTGAGACCGGCGCGTTTTATAGCAAAAATTACGCTACGATTTACATGAGAGCTTGGGCGAGCTGTGGACTGAAAACACACGACGTAGAACTTGCACGCCCCCTGCCACGCCCCCTCGACGCCCCCTCCCCCAGAAATTGGCAGGTTAGCTTGAACGACTAGAAAGAGATGACCAACTATTTATAGAGAGAGAGAGGGAGAGAGCGGGCGAGCAAGACGCTAAGCAGCTACTGTTTAATAATTATAATAAAGGTTGACTCCGTCCACATTAATGTATCTCGGTGACAAACCCAAACTACGGAGTCAGGCGAGCGGGAAAATTAGCAGTTGGCCGGGAAAATGCAGATTGCAGGTCAAGCCGGAAGCTGACACCATAACACTGACGTTGCCCCCCGAAATGTTTCTCCCAGAATATGCACTTGAAACAATGTGTTCTCAAAAGGTATTTTATTAAGATCTTTTGATCAATAAAAAAAGAGAACGATATATTCGGGTTGGTGTTCCGACTATCTAATACCCGTCACTCAGCTAAAGGGAGTGCGAGGGAGATGGATTTATAACATTTTTTGATTGCGCATAACTTTTTAATGAATGGTCCGATTTGAAAAATGTCTTCTACATTTCGATAGGCATAAATATACACAACGAAATTGCATTTATACTTCTCGGAAATCTTTAAATGTGTGGGCGCCAGACACATTTTAAAATGGTTAGTGGGGGATTGTGGGCGTTGTGGGCTGTGGGCTGAAATAAACTTGCGCTGCGTAGGAAGCCCAAGAATATGTGTAGGAAATCTCAACCTTCTAGCTTTTGTAGTTTCCAAGATCTCAGTGTTCATACAGACGGACAGACAGACATGGCTAGATCGACTCGGCTAGTGACCCTGATCAAGAAAATATATACTTTATAGGGTTGGAAACGCTTCCTTCTCTTTGTTACATACTTTTGCACGAATACAATATACCCTTTTACTCCACGAGTAACGGGTATAAAAATCCATTCAAAAGATTAATCATATAATTCAAATATAATAATTTGGGACAGCCCAAAGAAAAAGAGAAGCATACAAAAACAAAAAGTTCAATTTAGATGGACGGACTGTTGAAGACGGTTGCACCGAGTTTGCCAAAGATGTGCAGTGTACATATGATAAAATATGAAATTTTTGCGAAATAAAAGAACAATTTAAAATTTAAATAGTGATTTTCCTTCGAGTGTGCTGATCAGTGATCACTGTGAGTGAGGGGTCACTTTGCTTGGTAGTTAAGCTCCGCTCCGGACCAAAATCAAAGGGGCGAGGGGCCAGGAAGATCGTTCTAGTCGCTATCGTGCCTGTCGTAATTACGCCACGCGAACATCTTTGATGGGGAGTCGTGTGTTGACAATCTGTTAACTTTGGAAATTGTGCTGCCCGGATTGCGTAATGAATGGCGATCCCCTGGCGAAAAGCTTTCCCCGACTTGAGGTCTGTGAGGATCGCAGTAGCTGGCTGCCTTTGACATGGTTCGATGCGGAGGCTGATTGTGGAGGAAAATTGTCGAGATGCACGCAATTGGTGAGCCAGCCAAAGATAATTCTCCAGGCCTCATCCCAGTGATAGCAGCATTAGATAAGTTGAGGTGTGCTCAGATGTTTGTTGCTCACTCACAGTTTATTATTCAATCGGATGTGAGCTTGCAGTTGGTGATGGCTATTCGAACTGCCAGTGATTGGGGATTTGGGCAATCAAGGGTCGTCTTTACATGACTTTTTAAGAGAAAGATCCGCTAGAGAATTTTCCGCAATTATCCAATAGAATGAAAGATGAAAAAGAAACGGATCTCTGAAATAAGAGGACTTTGAATAAGACTAACAAAGATACTCAAAACAGGGGAGAGAAAGCATCTGTTTGACCTATTTTCATTGCAGTTTTATTTAGATAGATTTAATTTTCTCTTCAAATACTATCATTATGAGAAATATTACGAAAGACCATCGAACTCTGCTGCTTTTCAGTTTTGTAATCTCATAAAACACAGCCTGTCCATCTCCTGTTATGTACGAACCTTTTTCCACATCTCACATTCATTCAGATGGCAAAGACCTTGAATTAGCGTGACAAACCTAAGCAAGTGGGGCTAACGTGCCAGTAATAACAACTCCGATCCCGGTTGCCTAATGCTGAATGACTCTGATGATATGGTAACCAGTGGCTTGGGTTACGCAGCATCCGCTTTGAGTTAGAGACATCCTCGATCGGGTTTACTTGGTTTATTTAGCTCGAACTGTGTGCAATAAATTAGGACTTAGACTAGGAACACTACATTCTAATTCAGATTGATCCACTCGTCCAGCGGGATCTTGGCGAAGATGCGATCCATGAAGTTGCGGATGACCAGAGTGAGTTTGGAGCGGAGCGCCGGTTTCATTTCCTTGAGCAGCTCCTGGGAGTTGGAGTTGATGAACAGGTTGAGGGCAGCCTCTGTGGGGGATTAGCAAGTTTAGTATTTGAATCACTGACAACGTCATTAAACGCCTCTACTTACGTATGACGGAGTTCCCGTTGGCGATGTTGTCCACCCCCATTTGGATCTCCTTCACATTGAAGTCCATCTTGACGGAGTCCGTGGTCAGGTAGGTGCGTCCGTCGGCTCCCTCATTCGCCACCGCCTTGAAGTAGATCTTGGCCTTCACTCCCTCTGCGTGATAGAGAGTCATTAGTAGTGCGTCATCGCAGCCCAGAGGCCCGGTACCCACCATACTCCCCCCAGTAGTCGCCGGCTCCGGAGGCCTTCACCAAGATCAGCACACCTGTGGACCTGTACTGAGCCTTGACGCGAATGCGGGGTATCTCGCACGTCAGCTGGAACTGCAGCGAGTCCAAGTCGGAGCTGCAAAACAGACGCGGTGAGATATGGATACTAATGGGCGCCCCTAATGGCAATGACAGTGACAATCTGCGAAGTAATGGGCTTAGCGAAAAACTGCCATTTCATTCGTCTCATGCGAAGATGAGCCGACGATTTTTGTCGTGTCTTTTCGGCCTTGGAGCTCTCTGGAGTCCAAGTCTTAGATCTAAATTTCGATAGCAAAGAGAGCTACTGAACGAATTTAATGCAAGACTCAGAGAATAATATTAAAAATACTGAATACCCTTGCAGTAGGAACAATGAAAATTCCTATTTCCCACACTTTAAATATTGAAAACAAAATGCTGCAAAGAATTCTTCAATCCTGTGGGAATTTTTGCAATTTCAATTCCCAAATGTAGAATGAGTTTTGAGTACCCTTCGCCAGGGTAAAAAGCGACAGAAATCGAAACCGATGTTGGAACCGGCCCAAACACTTCTCTCCACTTAGAGAATCTAGCGTTGGCACACTTTTCTGGCTCGTTTCTTGGTCAACGATCTGTGGGCCAGTCGTCTTTACCTGTGTCGTGTTTATGTCTCTGCCACTCGGAATCTTTTATTTTTCGCCAATTGAGAGCCAAGTGTCTGTTGTTGGTACTACAACTATTGTTGGTGGAGCTGTCGTTCCAAATACCGGAAAGTTTAGCTAAGAGTGTTCTTGGCTTTGGGTGTTGCATAATTCGAGACCGGTACAAAATCAGAGGCCATCAAGGAGAGTGGGTCAACTGGTTGGAGAGTAACTCTTTTTAAATGTGGAAAGAAGTTTAATACAATAAAGTGAAATGCATTTGAACCAATATGAAAAATTACTCAAGATATTTTTATTGGATAAGATAATTGAAGATATTATTTTAATTGATTTGAATTATCTTAACACCTTAATAGCGAAAATGATTTACTATCATGTTTTTTTTTGCTCTAAACTAATTTCCCCTTTTTAAAAAAAACTCCCCATTAACTGAATTAAACGACAATTATCATTGAAACCAATTTCCCGCGAACCATTTAAATATATTCATATATCTGACTATTTCCAGATAACACATGGCTTTGAGTTCCCAGTTTTCTGATTTAACCCCAGAATAAGTGGAACCAACCAGAATGGGCAAACACCTTGTCGTCGATAATTACGCGTCAAAAATGTATTTTAATAAGAAACCCGCGCGAATGCAAATTGATCTGGGCAAACATAAAGCGTTCAAGTAAGAGTTAAAGAACCATTGAAATGCAAATCGGTTATTGCTCAATCGATTTCCCATCGTCTGCCAAACGTTTCGTCCATAAATCAAGACTATGAGCAATAAGGTATTCGCAAGGCTTTGGCAAACCCCGTCGAATGAGTGGAAACTGCGCTCATTCAAGTTAGCTCCCACCATGTTGACAAAATGCTAAGTGGAGATCGCGTGCTGGGAGACACTGATTGAGTGGCCAACTGACTGACTTACTGACCGATGAACTGGGCGGTTAGGCAAATGAGCAGCAAATTAAATTATAATAATAAGGCGGTCGAAGCTTATATTGTGTAAAATGGTCAGACGTTAGAATGCAGTTCCCTCAGGTAATGAACACAGAAGAGGTGCATCTATCACTATTCCAAAATCAATTAGCTCAGGATTAGATATAATCGAGATTGACAAAGCAATCATAAATCCCCGATGCTCTTTAAAATGTTGCTTTAATTATAGTATTTGACAAGTATTTTGTATTGAATGCACTTAAAATTAAACACTGGGTCATAAAGTCATGATAATTAAATTCAATTGTATATACTGATTTTTAATTATTTTACAAAGCCAACCTGCTATTAAGAGTGCTGTAGCAAACCTCATTTAATGGCAATATGAATAGTCAACTGGATAAATTATTTAAAAACAATTTTGTACAATTGGACCTGAATTAAAATGCACTTTCATTAACGCCAAAATAATATTCAATAGGAATGAGGCACAACTTCCAGGCATAAATCAAACATTTTCACTTAGTTCTAAAGAAGTGGTTAGCTTACCGAATATTGGTGACCGTAATATTGCTCACACCGTAGGCTTGAATGTTGCGGAAAAGAGCGCGATAACCATCCGGTCCACT